CTGAACGGAACAGAACCCGTTTATCCCCGAGAAGACGGAGGAATACACGGGCTGCAGCCTGCCTGCTCCCGAGCAACACAACGGGGCCCAGAGCTGGGGGGGGGGGGGGGGGTCCGCAGCCACAGCCCCGGGAGCTCCGCACCGCTCCCACGCAGGCCCCCGCGGGTCGCGGCAGGCCCCTACGCCAGGCCGGCTTCCTCCATCCCCATCCCGCCACAACCCCACCAAACACGGTCCCCGGAGGGTGGCGGAGGCGGCGGGGGAGGCCATCGGGCAGCGGGGCTCGGCGGCGGGGCGGATGGCGGCGGATGGCACTCACCATCATCGCGGCGGCGCTCCTCGGTGCGGCTCCCCACGGCCCGAACAGCCTCCACCCCACAATGCACCGCGCCCGCCCAGAAGCTTCCCCGGGCCGGGCGGGGAAGCGCTGGTTGCTAAGAGACCACTTCCGGCTGTGCTCTATGGTATGGGCGGTAGAGCGCCCCCTGGCGGGGCGCCGCTCGTTCCCTAGCAACCATAGAGAGCAGGGCTGCGGAGCCGGCAGGGAGGGTGGATCACTATGTGGCAGAGGGGTAACGGAGCACACAGCGCTAGCGGATGGAGCTTTATTTGGCAGGGGCCAGCGACCGAGGGCGCCGGCTTCAGCCGGGTCCCTCAGGACATTGACAGCTGCGTCAGCCAATGAGAAGGCGCGGGGCGGGGGCTCCACCAATGGGCGCGGCGCGGGGGCGGGTGGTGCCGGGGGCAGCCATGCTGCACCGCTCGCTGTGGCTCTGCCTCTGCCTCTGCTGCTGCCCGGGCTGTGGTGAGTGCGAGCGGTGCGACCGGTCCCTGCTCCCCCCGACCGGCCCCGGTGCCCCCCGGCTGCCCTTGCCCCCGCCTGCGGCTCCGTTCCCCTCGGTGTCCCCCGGCCCCATCGCATTCCCCTGCCTGCATCCCAATGCGGGTGTGTTTCCCCTCGGTGTACCCCGGCCCCATTGCATGTCGCTACCCAGCACCTCGTTCGGGGTGCGTTTCCCCGTCCTGAACCCCAATTTGAGTGCGTTTTGCGTGCGAGCACCACGATCCAGATGCGTGTCCCCTCGCTGTTCCCTTGTATTTCCCTTCCGTGCACCATGATCCGTGTTCCTTTCCCCATCCTGCACCCCCATTCAGGTGCAGTTCTTCTCTGTGCACCCTGCTCCGGGTGCGTTTCCCATCTCTCACCGTAATTCCATTGCATTCCCCATCCCACGCCCCGATGCGGGTGCATTTCCCGTCACTGCCTCCCAGCTCCATTGTGTTTCCCATTCCCACACACCAGCCCAGGTGCATTTCCCCTCCATGCACCCCAGCCCCATTCCATTGCCCCATCCAGCTGCATTTATCCTTGATGCATCCTGGCTCCACTGTATTTCTCCTCCTTCATCCAATCCGGATGTGTTTCCCCTCAGTGCATCCCAGTCCAGGTGCGTTTCCTTATCCTTCACCCCAGCGTGAGTGTATTTTGCCTCCAAGCACCACGATCCAGATGCATGTCCCCTCGCTGCACCCTTACCCATTGTATTTTCCCCCTGTGAACCATGATCCTGGTACATTTCCCATCACTGCATCCCATTCCGCTTGCATTTCCCCATCCCACACCCCAATCTGGTTGTGTTTACCTCTGGTGCACTCTGGCCCCATTGTGTTTCCCCATCCTGCATCCCAATCTATATGCATTTCCCCTCACTGCACCCTGACCCCATTGCATTTCCCCATCCTGCATCCCAGTCCAGGTGCATTTTGCCTTCTTGCACCACAATCCCAGTGCATGCCCCTCACTGCACCCTGACCCCATTGTATTTCCCATCCATGCACCTTGATCCAGGGGCATTTCCCCCTCCATGCATGCCAATCCAGGTGCATTTCATCCTATTTCCTTGAAGGAATTTCCCCTTCTGTTCTCTCACCTCTCTCTGTGCCCACCCAGGTTTACGCCTCCATGAGTATCTGTATTTCCAAGTGCTGAGCCCTGGGGATATCCGCTACATCTTCACTGCAACTCCAGCCAAGGACTTCGGTGGCGTGTTTGTAAGTATTAAGTATCCCAGAATCCCAGACTGGTTTGTGCTGAAAGGACCTTAAATCCCATCCAGCTCCAACTCCTGCCATGGGCAGGGACCCCTTCCACTAGAGCAGCTTGCTCCAAGCCCCTGTGTCCAACCTGGCCTTGAACACTGCCAGGGATGGGGCAGCCACAGCTTCTCTGGGCACCCTGTGCCAGCACCTCAGCACCCTCACAGGGAAGAGCTTCTGCCCAAGAGCTCATCTCAGTCTCCCCTCGGGCAGGTTCAAGCCATTCCCCTTGGCCTGTCCCTACAGGCCCTTGTCCCAAGCCCCTCTCCAGCTTTCCTGCAGCCCCTTCAGGCACTGGAGCTGCTCTCAGGTCTCCCCTTCAGGAGCCTTCTCTTGTCCAGGCTGCCCCAGCCCAGCTCTCTCAGCCTGGCTCCAGAGCAGAGCTGCTCCAGCCCTCACAGCATCTCCGTGGCCTCCTCTGGCCTTGCTCCAGCAGCTCCACGTCCCTCTTATGTTGGGATAGGTCCCCCCAGAATCACAGCCCACCCAGGGATGAGCAAGCTGTGGGACAGCAGGAAGCAGCCCTGATCCCTCCTCACTCACATTTCCTGTCTCCCTCTTGGAGAACACAAGGTACGACCAGATCCACCTGGTCCCGGCTGATCCCCCGGAAGCCTGTGGAGAGCTGAATAATGGTGTCTTCATCCAGGACCAGATCGCTTTGGTGGAGAGGGGGTATGTTTGGTGTCACGGGTGCTGTCTGGGGTGGGGGACACTGGGGCAGGAGGGGGGCTGCCTGGGGTGCAGAGGGTGACAGTTCCACATCCACATTTCACCGTCGCCTCCATCTTCAAAACAGCCTGTGGTAAGGTGGAAAAAGGCCAATTGGATTGGATTGGATTGGATTGGATTGGATTGGATTGGATTCTGAGGAGAAGATGGCAGAGTGTGGGTGTCCTGTGCCTAAAATACAGCCTCAAAGCAGAGCAGGGTTTGCAGGAGGCACTGGCCTTGGGGGGGGAATAATCCCTCCTTTGGGAATCTCCAGGCAAGTTCTGGCTCTTGGAGCTGTGTGTGGCCACCAGAGGTTTGTGCTTGTGTGCCCCAGGGGTTGCTCCTTCCTGTCCAAGACGCGGGTGATCCAGGAGCACGGCGGGCGGGCGGTCATCATCGCGGATAACGCCTATGAGAACGACAGCTTCTACATCGAGATGATCCAGGACAGCACCAGGCGCACGGCCGACATCCCAGCGCTCTTCCTGCTGGGCAGGGATGGGTATGTGCCTTGGCCGAGGGGTATCCCACCTTCCTAAGTGGGGAATAGCTCATGGGAAGGGCCTTGTCCCCATAGAACAGGGAGATGCTGGTGATCAGGGTGTCCCACCTGGGTTTTGGGACCAGGGTTTTAGTGGATTCCATTGGTTGGGATTGTTCAGCCTGGATAAGAGAAGGCTCCAGGGAGACCTTACAGCAGCCCCCAGTGCCTGTAGGGGCAAACAGGTCAGCAATATCTGTCACCTCTTTATAGAATCCTGGAATCCCAGGTTGGAAGGGACTTCAAGGATCATCTGGTTCAACCTTTCCAGGCAAAGCATGACTTAGATGAGATGTCCCAGCACCCTGTGCAGCCCAGTCTTAACAGTGGCCAACACTGGGGAATCCACCACTTCCCTGCGGAGATTATTCCAGTGGTTGGCTGATTTCATTGGGAAAAAGCTTCCTCTTGGGTCCAGTTGGAATCTCCCCAGCAGTAACTTGTGTCCATCACCCTTGTCTTTCCCATGGGACTCCTCATCAAAAGGGAGCCTCTGTGTTCTTTGCAGCCACCCTTTAAACACTGGACCATGGTGACAAGGTCTCCCTGAGCCACCTTCTCTCCAGGTTGAACAATCCCAGCTCTCTCAGCCTTTCCTCACACGCTTCCCATTCCTTGGATCATCTCCGTGGCCCTTCTCTGGACCCTCTCCAGCCCATCCACACCTTTTTGTACAGCAGGGCCAAAACTGAACCCGGTATTCCAGGTGTGGCCTGACCAGTGCTGAGCAGAGTGGGACCTTGACACCTTTATCCCTGCGTGACATCCCTGTTGATGTGACCCTCTTGGTGTCCTCTTTACCCTCCCAGGTACATGATCAGACGCTCTCTGGAGCAACATGGACTTCCCTGGGCTGTCATCTCCATTCCTGTCAACGTCACCAGCATCCCCACGTACGAGATGATGCAGCCCCCTTGGACCTTCTGGTAGCTGCAGAGGCTGTGGCAGATCGAGGACTTGATGGATCTCAGGAGCTTGTCCTAGTGATGGGGTTTGAGGAAAGGCTCTCCATGTGCTCCAGAGATCCCAGCATGCTCCAGAGATTCTCCCAGTGGATTCAGCAGCGGGGAGATGGTTCTGCTGCGAAGGGCAAGCACGAGGACCTGTGGTGGGGGCCTTGAACCCAGCACTGAGCACCCTTTGTAGTGACTTTGGGGTGGGAGCCCAGAGCAGGGCAGCACCTCCCTGAGACTCGTTTTAACGTTCCCCAAGATACCACCAGTGTTTTGTGCTGCTGACTGAGCGAGAGTGGACGTGGTCTGGTAGGGATGGGAGAGATGGGTTTGGTCTGTTCTAGCAGATGCCCTCGTCTGTGTGTTTTGTGTGAGCTGATGATACCTGAACAAGTTTTAAAGGGAAGTCTTTCCTTTTTTTCAGGAGGTTGGGAATTAAGGGATAAATCTCATCCCGTCACATTTTATCCTAGGAAACTTCCTCTTGAAGCCAGGCATGGATCAGTCACACACCAGGGCAGGAACAGCCTCATGGGAAAGCATCCCTCTGAAATCCATCCCCAGGGATGGGCTGCTCATAGATCCAGGGCCCGAAATTCCCACATTCCCAAACCAACATGTCCCCACTGGGACCAGCCCCTCATCTCCACCTTCACACGCCTCTAGTTTAACCAGTACAACCACCACAGCCCCACTTCTCACCAGTCTCGGTTTATTACGAACACCGAAGGGGACATGGCCCCAGGACGGGTGGGGATGAGCAGTGGGTGCAGGGCTGGTGGGGATGGCAGTGTCAGAGGTGCCCATGTCAAGAGGTGTCACCTTCAGTCCCACAACCCAGCTGCCACAGGTTTGGAGGAAACAGCAGCAGGAAAACAGCTCCCAAAATCCAAGAGGGGAGGCAAATATTCCAAGCACATCCCCAACCTGCTGCACATCCATCGCTTGGAGCCGTCCTCTCCCTCCAGCGTGGGCCAGAGACGAAGACAAGGCAGAGAGCAGTGTGGCCTCACGGGTGGCATGGGATGGATGACAATGCTCTGCTGCCAGTGACATCTCAGTGTAGGGAAGCCACACAGCCCCACGCCACGTCCACTGGTCTCAGGCATCTGAGCCACCTTCTGCAGTGTCTCTGTCCCACCTGCAACATCTTTTGCTCCAAGCTGGGGCATGGAATGGAGGATATGTAAGACCCCAGCTCCATAGTGTATAGATAGTGCTACTATAGACATTAAATAGTACCTCTTGTGCACAACACACGTACATACATATACACATGTTCCCCTCGTCCCCGTGGGGAAGGGAAGGATGTGTTCCTCCGCACCGCAGCTGCACAGGCACAGTGGAGCAGCCTCAGGGTGACCATCATGATTTCCCAGGGGCTGGCTGGACCCTGCTCTGCTCCAGCCTCCCCAGCCAGCCCCTCTGGGGACCAGGATGCTCCCAGCCTGTCCTCACAGGGAGGATGGGGACAGCCTGACACACACATACACACACAAGGACAGGCGGGAGCAGGGCCTGCCTATGGCTCCGCTGCTGCCCCACTCCACCAGAGCTCCTGACCCCACAACACAACCCTGTTCCTCGAATTAAAGCTGCTGCCTCCGGGAGGATCCTCATCCCTGTCCCTTCCCCCTCCTCTCGCCTGGGGCCAGGATCAAACATCAGTCATCTCGTCCTCCAGCTCAGCATCATCCGTCTCCCCTTCACCCTCCTCCTCTTCGTCTGATGTCACGTCAGCATCGTCGGCTTGCGCCAGGCACTTGGGACACGAGCAGGTAAACAAGTAGTTCTCCCTGGAAGAAGGGAGGGAAGAAGGCAGAGTGATGGTGGTGAGACAGGGAACAATCCCAACCCTGCTGCTGGGCAGGGCAGGAGCAGCCAGGAAGGGGCTAAGTATGTTAAACCCAGAGGAGTTCACTCATGCTGGGCTGGATGGGGTGGAGGAAGTCTGGGTGAGAGGGGGACATCTCAGCCCTGCAGGGTGATGGGACATGGGGATGGTGACCGTCAGCAGGCACCCCTACGCTGGAAGGGCAGAGAAAGAAAAGGAGGGTAAGAACAGGAAGGGTCTGCAGGAGGGGTGCAAGCTTGCAGGGAGAGAGCCCAGATCCTCAGTCCCTGAGGCTACAACACAAGAAGGGAGTGGAAGGAGCCTGAAGCACCAAAAGCACCACATACAGCATGCACACCCTGCCATGAGCACACCAGCTTGCACAGCCACACAGCAGGGCATACACGGGGCCTGAGGTGGGGATGGAGTCTGGGAGTGCAAAAAGGGGTGCAAAGGGGATCCCACATCCCCCTGGGTTCCTCCAAGCAGCTGTACCTGAGTATCTTGTTGCGGCTGTGTCTGCTGCGCTCCCGCTGGCAGCAGTCTAAGTAACTGATGCAGATTTCCTGTCAGCAGAGAGAAATGGATCAGGCTGAGAATCACAGACTCACAGAGTGGTTTGGGTTGGAAGGGACCTTAAAGCTCATCCAGTTCCAACCCCTGCCACGGGCAGGGACCCCTTCCACTAGAGCAGCTTGCTCCAAGCCCCTGGGTCCAACCTGGCCTTGAACACTGCCAGGGATGGGGCAGCCACAGCTTCTCTGGGCACCCTGTGCCAGTGCCTCAGCACCCTCACAGGGAAGAGCTTCTGCGCAAGAGCTCATCTCAATCTCCCCTCTGGCAGGTTAAAGCCATTCCCCTTGGCCTGTCCCTACAGCCCCTGATGAAAAGCTCCTCTCCAGCATCCTTGTAGGTCCATAAACCCAAAGCAGCACAATTTGTCCCAGTCCCCCTCCAAGTCAGGCAAAACCACGGCATCTGGTAGACCCTCCATGGGATGAGGTGTGAATTCTTCTGCCAAGACACCACTAGAGACAGGAGGTGCAGGGCTGGAGTCCATAGGGCTATAGGGGACACAGGGATCCTCTCCCAAAGGGAGACCAGCCCAGGTTCATCCAGACCCCACTGTCTCACCTCTCCTGCTTCGATGTCCTCCAGAGCCGTCAGATGCAGGAGGAAGTTGTTTTCTGGGAAGGATGTCTCAGCATTGGGGATGCAGCTGTGGTTACCTGTGGGAAAGACAGGACACAGCTCTGAGGGTGGCTCCAGAGGAAAAGGAAGGCAGAGGCAGTCAGGACTGTCAACTCACATGGCACCGTCCACTCACACTATGGGTCCAGCAGGACAGGGTGCAGGGCCAGGGCTCTCCCTTAGACCCACAAAACCCACTGTCCTGGATCACGCCTGGGATGCACAGCACCGCCTCTGCTTCTAGGTGCTGAGGGAAGGATGCTGCCCCAGCAGCCAGTCCCTGCTCATCCCTGCTCTGCCTTTAACACTGAGGAGCAAAAGACAACAGCTCCTGGTGCTGGGACATCTCCTCCTGTATCCCCATGGGCCAGCCAAGAAAGATTCCCTCCTGTAACAGTTCACCCAGCTCCATTTTGCTTGGACAAGGCTGGAGACAGTCTCTTTGCTAACCGCATACGTGGCTCCCAGAGATGACATGGCATTCAAGCCAGGACTGAGCTAGGTGAGATGCCAGGAGACCTCAAGAGAGCAGCCAGGCCCTGGGCAACTCCCATCCCACAGATGGGAATCACAAACCCCTTCTCCAGAGGCTGTGAGGAAGAAGTGAGCCACCCAGGACATCTCCCTCCTCATTAGTTTTCCTCCCAGTCCTTGTGTTACTTACAGCAGCTCTGGAGCACGTAGAGTCCTGATCCCTCACAGTTGAGGAATTCTCCTGACTCTGCAGCAGAGAGAAGGGGGTCAGAGCTTTGCATGGGCCACACTGCCCACAGACTTGGACCTGCCCAAGAAGCAGGCATGGACCAGGGGGAATGGGATTTCCCACTGCCCACTGAGAACCCCTCCTGGTCCCTGAATGCTGGGAAGAGTCTCCAGCTCACCCTTCTCAATGTCCTTGTAGAGCTGGTCGATGAAGGCATCCAGCTCCTCCCGCTGCAGCATGGGGAGATCCAGAGCATCACAAGCATGTACCCACTGGCTCAGGGAGCTGTTGGGAAGCAGAGGGACACTGTTACAGTCCCACAGTGCTGTCACTACATGGTGGGACCTCACAGCAGGGATTTAAGGGTTAAACTCATGGGTCTGAGTAGCAGAGGTCTGGCAGAGGGACACAAAAGGGTTGGATGTAGCCAAGATGAAGGAGTGCTTTTAAGTTTGCCTCTGCATTCCCCTCTTCCATCTGCACTCAGCCATCACTGGGTAATGGATTGAGACTGCACATCCTCTCCAAGCCGCATCTCTGCACCCAGAAAACCCCATTACCTTGTTCCTATGCCTTGGCCATTGGTCCCAACGAGGGCAAAGAGGGATCGAAAGCCTTCTGGAGTGAACCACTAGAGAAGGGAAATAAGAAAGCAGCTGACGCCAGGCCAGCCTGCAGCAGCACCCCAGTGAGTGCCTCAAATCCCACAGGGAAGCTTTGGAGGAAGCAAGGAATGGGGAGTGTCCCAGGGGAAGTTCTGGCCAGCCAGAGCATCCTGCCGTAGGCTAGTGAGGATGCAGCTCGACTCACCCTGCTGAGATGTTCATCATAAAGTGCTTCAGTGAAGAGCAGTCGCAGCAGCTCCAGCTGGCCCTGGCAGGACATGGCAACACCATCAGGGTGGGGAGAGGCTGCTGGGTGTCACACCCAGGCTGACAACGAGCCCATCACAAGCCACAGGGCTCAGGAGTCACTGGGGCTCCTCGTCCTGGCCTGCAGGGCTGGAGGCTGCTGCCCTCAGAGCAGCAAAAGCCACTCATCTGAGCAGCAAACATCACCTACTCAGCAGCTAAATACCACCCTGTGCCATCCCACAGCAAACATCACCACAGGAAGGAGCAGCATGTCCCACTGAAGCACCACAAGCCCAAAGCCCTCTAGGAAACCCATTTTCTGTCAGCTCAGCCAGGCCCTAATGGGAACACTGGAATTCCCACTTTAATCCCGGGATTTCCAATGTCTCCCATCCCAACTGTAACAGGGCTCACAGGCCTAGGCAGGGAGACAACAGGCTCAGGGCCTGAACACATCCAAAAGCTGCCAAAGTCTTACTTTAAATTTGTCCCCCAGCAGCTTGTGCACAATCTCCTCCTCTTCATTTGCTGTCTTATTGCAGAACTGGGAGAAGGTCTTGATCCACCATTCCTTGTCTTTAGCCTGACAAAGGAAGCAAGCAAAGGGATGGCTTTCATTCCCAGCCAGGAGACAGGGAGGAGAAGACAACCCCCCTGCACTCAGAGGTATCCAGCTGCTACTAAGAGCCACCAAAAGCAGTTGCATGGTGGTAGTTTATTGTCAGAATAAACACCGAGAAAGCCAAAGAAACAGAGTCAAAGGGAAGGCTCACTTCTGACTATTTTGGTATGGGAAAAAGGACCTGCTTGGCTCAGGACAGAGGAACCTCCTTTGCTGCTGCTGTCTCCATCACCAGGGAGCACTAGATGTTGAAATCTATCCAAGCAGGACCCCCCCAATCACCAGAGTCACCCAGTCCTTTGCAGTAACAGTCACAATGGGATGAGGAAAGCACACACTGGCAGCTGTGGCTCAGACTGCAACGTACCTGTTTGATGGTGGCAACCATGCGGGCCATCAACATGATGCTGGAAGTCTCTGGTGGATAATGCATGTTTCTGGGGGATAATTGAAGAAAAGAGATGAGTAGATCAATGCTGGTATGGAAATAAGAAGACAGAGGGAAGCAGAGGCAGCTGCCATTCATGTGGCCAGGCCTGCACTTGCGTCACACCAGTGTGCCCAGTGCTGCACTACCAGATGGGGATCCAGCACTGCTTAGGGTGAGGAGAAGCCTGCACCCACCTGACTGCTCTAACCAAATAATCCCATATCATCCCATTAAACTACAGCCTGGTCCCACAAAAAGCCCAGGACAGCAGCAAGAGCTTGGGTTAGTGACAAACTTTGGCTCAGGGATGTCACTTCTCCCCTCTGTGCCTATTTTGCCATCTACAAGCAGGGACAGCAGTATATGTACCCACAGGGGTGCTACAAAGAAGATCTCCCAGAGGCTGCAGATCTTCAGGATCAAGGGATGCACAGCTCTGCTTTGCAGCTATTTAACCAAGAGGAAAACGAGCTGCTCAGCCATGGGTCCAAACCCTTGTGGTGCCAACACAAATCCACCTGTGGCCACCACCACCCTCCAGCCACCCCGTGCAAGGATGCAAAGCAAGGATGGTCCTCAGCCCTGGTGCCATCAGCATCACCCAGCCCAGAAGAGCCACTTCCTCTGCCCGGGGTGCCACAGGCAGGTTGATCCCCTACCTCCATGCCTCCTGCAGCTTGTTGAGGGGGTGTGTGGGGTCATCACGGGACGGGCCAAGGCAGAGGACGTGGTGGTACTGCTCCAAAGCGGCCTGCCTGCATTCAGCACTGCAGTACGTCACCTAGAGCGAGGGGCACAGCGCCCAGCATTGGCTATGGAAGCAGGGAAGGGGGTCCTAGGCCCAGCTCTGCCCTTTCCCTGAGCATCTGAGCCCCAGCTCTTTAGCCATCGCGATGCAGAAGGGAAAGACACCATCCCAGGGCAGCACAAGTGCCTGGATGGGGGCTGTGCAGGAGTCAGTGAGCCCAAGATGACCACGGCAGCCCCATACCTGGCATCGGGGGCACTGCTGGTGAAGGTCTTTCCGGATGCTGCACTGCTCCGGGTGAGGCAGCACCAGGGAGCTCTTCCCCAGCAGCCGCTGAGCATTTTCCTCTGCTGTCTCCAAAGCCCGCAGGCAGTGATCACAGGCTGTGGGGAGACAGCGTGGATGGATGTCACATGAGACCACAGCCCTCCAAGAGAGAAGGGGCCAGAGCCCAGGGCAATACAGCGCAACCGGTACCAACACCATCAGGAAGTCAGAGAAGGCTCCACTGAGACCTTAAGAGCAGCTCCAGTGCCTAAAGGGGCTGCAGGAAAGCTGGAGAAGGGCTTGGGACAAGGGCCTGGAGGGACCCTCTCCTTGGGTACCAGGCAGCCCCTTCGGGACGCTGCAGTCCCCTCCCAGGGCCATGCCACCGCCAGCCGCTCACCTCGGTAGCTGTACAGCGCGTTCCAGAGGAACTGGGACGACACCACCGGCTTCTCCACGAAGACGGTTTCCCCTTTGCGGATGTTCTTGGTGGCGAACAAGCCTTTTCCCTGCCGAGGGAGACGCGCGGCTCAAGGGGATGCGCCCAAAGCCGAAGCCCACCCCCGGCCCAGCCTGAGGGGAGGCTGCCGCCGTTCCCCCCCCCTTTTCCCTCCCCATAACTGCCCCTTGCCGCAGGCTGAGGGAAGGGAAGGGAAGGGAAAGGAAGGAGCCCGCAGCGAGGGCACCGCCGGGCTCACCTTGGCGCTGCTGATGAACCGCGCCTCCGCCGCAGCCCCAGCCCCGGCCCCGGCGCGGCTCCCCGGCACCGCGCCGCACACGTCCCCCGCCGCGGCGGCCATCTTCGGGCGGCGACTTCCCCGCTCTGACCCGCCGGGGCGGGCAGCGCCTCTTCCTTTTCCTCCTCCTCTTCTTCCTCCTCCTCCTCCTCCGTCCCCCTCACCCCACACGAAGATGGCTGCCGGTCCCCCTCAGGGCTCCCCGCCTGCCATCACCCACCTCAGCCCCGGGGCTTTGGGGGGCTGGCCGCCATCTTAGCCCTCCCCTCAGCCCACCGCCGCTGTCCGAAAACAGCGCTAAAAAGCCCCGAAACGGGGCTGCGGCGCTTCCAAAACCTCCCGAAAATCCAAGAGGAGTTTTGCTGCCTCTTCCCTATTAATTCTGAGTTATTCTAACAGTATAGGCGTGCGAGGAATAGCCTTTATCTCCCTGTCAGGCGGGCGCGCCAGGGACCCCCCTCTCACAGTGAGGACTCAACGCCAGGCCCCCCCCCGCGCACCCAAAACTGCCCCGACTTTCCCCAATAAAACCTTGAAAACGCACTAATGTGGCTCCTCCACGCCGGCTCCCCCCTGCTGGGCAGCCCGCAAACGCTTCAATGCGGGTTTAGCTGTATTTATTAACCCAAACGCCCCTTCAGCCTCGGCCCATGAGGCAGGAGGGCTGCCTTAGCGCCGGGGCTATGGAGTCACCAGGTGGCAGTGGCGGCTCGCGGTGGGGACCTGCCGCCGGGTTTAACCCCGCACCCGGCATGGCCGGGCCAGCAGCACCTGGGGGAGCAGCCCCAGAGCGGGGCAGACAAAGCTCCCCCCTCCCCGGACACCTTCATTTGGGGGTCTGGTCCCAGTGAGCCGAGCAGCGGGTGTGCGGGGCACTGCTCCAGCGGGCAATGGGGGTGAAAGAGGACCCAGAGAGCGGTGGAGCAATGGGACCGTATGAATGGTGTTTCAGTCACATCCTCAGAGCTGTGTCCTGCTCGGCGCAGCAGCACAAGAGGGACGTGGAGCTGTTGGGGCGAGGCCAGAGGAGGCCATGGAGATGCTGCGAGGGCTGGAGCAGCTCTGCTCTGGAGCCAGGCTGAGAGAGCTGGGCTGGGGCAGCCTGGACAAGAGAAGGCTCCTGAAGGGGAGACCTGAGAGCAGCTCCAGTGCCTGAAGGGGCTGCAGGAAAGCTGGAGAGGGGCTTGGGACAAGGGATGTAGGGACAGGCCAAGGGGAATGGCTTGAACCTGCCCGAGGGGAGACTGAGCTGAGCTCTTAGGCAGAAGCTCTTCCCTGGGAGGGTGCTGAGGCGCTGGCACAGGGTGCCCAGAGAAGCTGTGGCTGCCCCATCCCTGGCAGTGCTCAAGGCCAGGTTGGACACAGGGGCTTGGAGCAAGCTGCTCTAGTGGAAGGGGTCCCTGCCCGTGGCAGGGGTTGGGACTGGGTGAGCTTGAAGGTCCCTTCCAACCCAAACCATGCTGGGATCCTATGATACCAACAGTAGGAATCCTAACCATTATTGTAATAACAGCATTCCATGTCCCATTCAAGGTTTCCATGCTGTTTGGCAGCGTGTTTCACGCACAGAGCATCCCATCAGCTTGAATCACGGCTCGTCCAGCAGCGCTTCAAAGGCATCTTCTGAACCAGGCCTGTGCTTACAGCATTAATGTGGAGCAGTTTGTGCAGCTGGACCAGGATTGCTTCTGTTGCTGCTGTTTGCAGAGCACAGGGGGAACACTCACTAACCTGGGCTTGAGCTCGCTGAAGCATCAGCCCAGGGGCTTCATGGGTTTGGCCCCATCCACCTGCAGACCAAGGGCCTTGCTCTCCAAGGGCAGCATCCCCAGCACCCCATGCTAACAGGAGATGGTGTTTCCTACTGTAAATGCAGGTTTATCTCTGCAGGAGCTGGCCTAGAGATAACTAGAGGTAACTCCTGTTATCTACTCTCACCCATGATATGGGGTCATCAATCAATCAATCAATCAATCAATCAATTTCCCACACACACACATTCCTTTAACATATATTTTGTCCAGAACAGGTTATTAAGATAAAAAAATCCCTCATTTTTGGGGAGGCTGTAATTACATTATGTATTGTGGGGGGGTTATTAATAATTTCAGCTGGAAAAGGGAATAGTTGAAAATGTGGTTTCCTTCTGGTTCTTTTTGACATTCCCAGGTTTTCAGCTGATCTCTTTCAAAGCTTTCATTGCTCCGTTGCAAAGGCTTCAAGCCTGAAATGAATGCACAGGTTCATCAGCAAACACACAAGGTGGTGGGGGGGGAATAACCCACACTGCTTTCTTATTCGTATTGGCATGTCAGGAATGGAAACGTGTGAGATGAAATGATCCTTCTGAGGAGAAATCAGCCTTTTGTGAGCTCTGGTGGAGCGTGGATGCTACTTTTTTGGCAACAGGGGTCTTTTAGTGGGAGGAAAAGGTGCATTTCTTTAAATTTCTCTTATTTTTAATTCAGTTTCCTCAGAAACACAAATAATGAGAAAATGAACATGAGCCGGCTGCAGTGTGCGCTCACAGCCCAGAAACCAACCGTATCCTGGGCTGCATCCAAAGCAGCGTGACCAGCAGGGCGAAGGAGGTGATCCTGCCCCTCTGCTCTGCTCTCGTGAGACCTCACCTGGAGCATTGTGTGCAGTTCTGGGGTCCTCAACATAAAAAGGACATGGAACTGTTGGAACAAGTCCAGAGGAGGCCACGAGGATGCTCAGGGGCTGGAGCACCTCCTGTATGAAGACAGGCTGAGGAAGTTGGGGCTGTTCAGCCTGGAGAAGAGAAGGCTGCGTGGAGACCTCATAGCAGCCTTCCAGTATCTGAAGGGGGCCTATAGGGATGCTGGGGAAGGACTCTTCATTAGGGACTGTAGTGACAGGACAAGGGGTAATGGGTTCAAACTGAAACAGGGGAAGTTTAAATTGGATCTAAGGAGGAAATTCTTTCCTGTGAGGGTGGTGAGGCACTGGAATGGGTTGCCCAGGGAGGTTGTGAATGCTCCATCCCTGGCAGTGTTCAAGGCCAGGTTGGACAGAGCCTTGGGTGCCATGGTTTAGTGTGAGGTGTCCCTGCCCATGGCAGGGCGGTTGGAACTGGATGTTCTTAAGGTCCTTTCCAACCCTAACTATTCTATGATTCTAATTCTGGACACAGCAGAAAGGCTGGATAACACCCCCCTGGCAAAGAGACATTGAGGTAGCGTTGCTTGCTCAGAAACCACAGAGCTGCCCAAATCTCCTCCCCTCCACACAGCCCCATCTCTTTTTTAAATACACTAGATTTTTATTAAGAAGTAAAGCAAATAAATAACACTTAATAAAGGGGAAAAAAAAGTTATTTCTATAAATAACAGGAGAGTAAAGTGATGTACAGTGTTCCTGCTCAGAAAGAGAGGGAATAAGTTATCCTGAGCTGACAGGACGTGGTGCCTGGTAACTTAGGACAGACCTGGGAAGACAAAGTGAGAGCCTGAGCACTGACAGCCTAACACACAGACAGGAAGGGTCAAGTACTTAGTCCTGACCCCCAAAGCCTCCCACCCACCAGAACCACAACTGTGACTGCATTGGGGGTTACAGATGTGCTCCCTGAACACTCCAGCTGTTTCCTACAGCACCTGGGTGTATAATGAGGAGAGAACACAGCAACAGGGCCAGAATCAGCACATCTGGACGAGGGGCAGGGGGTCCTCTGAAGTACCAGAGGTGTTGGAGAGCTGCCTTTGTAGAACCAATCCCTGCACCTCAGCCCGCCCCAGTGCTTCACTCCCTGCTGCAGCAGCAGGCGCACACCTGGGTGAAGTAAGGCAATGCTACAAGGCAGAGAAACCCCCCCCCCGGGATCTGCCCTCCAGGTTTGGGAAGTCAAAAAGGCAGCAAAAGCAAGGCACAGGACAAGAGGAGGCACTTCTGTTCCAGGGGCAGGATCAGACCCTGTGCATCTTATTGCAACAGTAGCCTGTGGGTGGGAGCAAAGGGCTTTCCAGTTGTCATAGGGGTTTTTGTGGTGATCAAGGCATCAAATGTGAGAGTTAACCAGAAAAAAAACCAATCAGGGTTGATTCTCCTCCAAGGAAAATCACAGATCTCCCTCCTAGGAGCACACAACCACACACAACACAAGTGAGCCCACGTTTAAACGCCCTTATGCTCACATCCAAAGACATCGTATGATTGTCACCCACCCCAGCTTCTCTGCTGGAAACTGTTCATGGTCCTTCAAGAGCAAACAGATCACATGCTATGTACCATGCCATAGCCATGGCACCTTCAAGTACAACCAGCCTGGTGATGGAAGCCCCAGGAATGTCAGCAAACAGCAGCCCAACAATATTCATGGGGTTCCTCTCCCAGCCAGCTGCAGTTTAGTCCTGTAGAGCTCCAGCTTTTGGATCCGGAGCGTGTCTCACTTGGAGCAAAGATGTTCCTGCATCCCTGGTATCTCCTTCAAGCAGACACGGCTCAGAAACCACCCGAGTCTCAGGAGCTGTTCAAAGCTCAACGTCCACGGTGTCCTCCTCGCGGTCCTTGGTGTCGGTGGAGTCCGCGCTGGCAGGCTGTATCACCCCAAACTGGGACAGCTTTGCTGCCTTCTGCTCCATGCTCTGCTTCCTCCACTTGATCCTCCGGTTCTGGAACCACACTTTCACCTAGCAGGAAAACAGCACAACAGCTTAACCCAAGGTCCGCAGGTGCCCCTTTCCCATGCTTCCAAGGCAGGCGTCCCCAAAAAGTCCCTCAAAGAGGGGGACATGCTCCTTCTCTGCTCAGGGCACAGTGCTTGCAAGCAGCAGGTGATGCTATGGAGGGCAGAGTGGTGCTGGGAGAAAGGACATGGGGAGAGAAGGATGCACAGAAGAGGTTCTGGCCAAGGGAGTGAGGAATCACCTCCCCAGGCTCCCTGGAGCCACCAAACCCATACACAGGTTGTCAGAGGACACAATGAGACACCCATCTCCCCCCGTTCCCGCTCCTACCCTCCATGTCCCCTCCAGAACCACCCTTTGCTCTCCCTTCTCCCCAGGTGAATTTAGATCCCACCACAGAAGATCATGTTGCTCCTTCCTTCCACAATAAATAACCAGTGGAAGCAGCAGGAACTTACTGGGAAGAGCAGGAAAAAAATGAGATCTGGTATCATAGAAGAGCGCTTAAAGCATAAACTGTCTCCAGAGGAGCGTAACAGCAGATACATTAGGTCAACCCAGCCTGAACTGTAAAGCAAGCATGTTTGTGCTCCTAAATGCTTTTTGTTCCACTTCAGGGATTAAGAAAAGGATGCTGTTATCCATAAACCATCTAAACCCATCTCACATCCCTCCAGGCACGTGTGGCTTCAATGTCATCTTGCAGCAAGGACCCACTTTGAATCACATCCTCCCCCCAGTGTCCTTCACAGCAGGGACATCACCACAGCCCACACCCCAGAACAGGATCTGTGCCTCCACCCCCATCTCCCCCATCCCTTACCTGGGTCTCTGTGAGGTGCAGGGTTGCAGCCAGGTCCACTCGCTCCGTGCCCACCATGTACTGCTGCTTGAGGAACTCCTGCTCCAGCCGCTCCAGCTGCTCGGGCTTGAAGACAGTGCGGACCCTCTTCATCTTGCAGGGCCCCCCAGGCCTCCAGGGCACAGTAGGACCCAGTGAGTTGGCTCCTACACAGTGAGACAACTCCAGACCTGCAAGAAAGAAGCAGTGAATGAATTGGGGGTTGTGTTCGAGACCATTCCTCCAGCCTCCTTCAGCTATAGCTAAAGAAGAGCGGGGGGAAAAAAGCACCAAAACTGAATAGCAGGGATGGCCCTACTTTGTCCCTACCTAAAATCTCATCTAGGCTCCCTTTCCAGTGCTCAGATGATCTTTTGAGGTGGCTTCCAACCTATTCTACAGTTCTACCCACAGAAAGCACCTGAGACAGGTCTGGACATGCAGCCAGATCCAAAAGAAGCCAGCACTCAATGGGGTGAGCAGGGTTTGATCTCCATCTGTGTATTTGTAACAGAAAATAAAGCCCATTGAGAGCTGCTGAGCACAAAAAATCCCATCTCTCTGGCTCAAGAAGTTCCTAATCACAGATTTCCTTTTGTACATTGAGATGTGTGTGAATCAAAGGCTGTGGTGGCAGGATGAGGCTTTATGAGACATCCCTGCTCTTAGGCTGGTGCCAGCTGGTCCTGTGACAGTGCTGGCGGGGTATTGTATGTTAATTGAGGAGCTATGGTTATCATCAGGCCACAGCTAGATAGGAGGCTGAGACCTGATCCACTTGTTAGTCCTGCTAATGCCTCTGCACACGTATTGTTCGACCTACAGAGACCAGAGGGCTAAAGTGCAGGCTGAGAGAGCTGGGCTGGGGCAGCCTGGACAAGAGAAGGCTCCTGAAGGGGAGACCTGAGAGCAGCTCCAGTGCCTGAAGGGGCTGCAGGAAAGCTGGAGAGGAGCTTGGGACAAGGGATGTAGGGCCAGGCCAAGGGCAATGGCTTGAACCTGCCAGAGGGGAGACTGAGATGAGCTCTTAGAAGCTCTTCCCCATGAGGGTGCTGAGGCACTGGCACAGGGTGCCCAGAGAAGCTGTGGCTGCCCCATCCCTGGCAGTGTTCAAGGCCAGGTTGGACACAGGGGCTTGGAGCAAGCTGCTCTAGTGGAAGGGGTCCCTGCCTGTGGCAGGGGTTGGAGCTGGATGTACATGCCCATCCTGCAGGTACAGGATCAAGCCATTAATGCTCCCCTAGTGCTCTTCAGCCATCTCAGCCCTTGGGCGCTGTGATGTGGCTTTGAGATCAGCTCTGCTTTGAGCAGAGGTTGGATGCAACAGCCCACAAAGGTCCCCCTCAGCCAGAGCCATTGCCTGGCGCGATCTGTGGGCTGGGCTGCTTTGGCTTCTATGGCCATACTGCTCATAAAGATGGCAATTCACACCCTGACTCCTCTCTCCTTTAATGACTGATGTTGGCACCTGGATCTACTTCATTTCATTACCTGGGTGCCAGTTCTGCGTGTGTTTAAGGCTTTGTGGGATGGAGACCTGACAGTTTAACAGCTGTAATTGCACAGACAACCACTTTCCTCATTAAAATCATTTCACCTGTCACATCTATTTTCTATTTTAACACGAGGATAATAGCGGGTGTAATTTCAAACGTGAAATACACCCTGGAAACAGCTTTGCCAGTTGTTTAACTGTATTTTCATACATGTGTTTGATAGAAAACACAGATTAACACACAGCTAGGGAAATGCTGTCTTCTAAATGAAATAAGAGTGGTTAAAAAGAGTTAAGAGTAGCAAACACTTTTGATGTTGGATATTGTAGCTGTTGGGATTAAATCAAGAGCTCCTTATACAAGTCAAATACGCGTTGGGCTGAGCAATGTTGAGATCAGGCTTTGCATGCTAAAAAGACACTTAATTTCACAGAAAATACTCTGAATAGAGGTAGTTCATTAAAATAGGTTTCTTACACTTATAAGAAGTTACAGTGACCCTCAGTGGACACACAGAGCCTGATGCACCAGCCAGTACCATCCATCACCCGTGTGTTTAACCCACATATCCACAACAAACCCTTCTTCCTTAGGTGTTTTCCAACTGAAAACACAGGTTTAGGGCCGGGTGCTGTGAAGCACTCGGCAGTTTCGCTTCTGTGAGCAATAACTTGTAGGGAGAGCAGAATTACAGACAGATGAGGGCAGGTCTGGAGGAAGAGGGGACCCCACACAACAGCAGAGGAGTTCTGACGTGATGGGAAAGGGATTTTAAAGGGTGAGGGTTTGGGAAATTACAGCAGTTTTCCGCAAGCACGATAAAAACACAGACACTGTGCTACCTTTCTGATACATTAGAAGAGAAACCAATGCAAAGCCACTCTTAAAACGCAGGTGGGGATGGATGCTGGTGGACCACCCCTTGTCCCCGACCCAAAACCTTCGGCTGAAGTCGGGCTTGAGGGCTGTAAATCCCGCCATTGGGGTCTCGCTTCACCCACGCATTTACCATTGGGCGTTAATGGTTAATATTAATTATCGATTAATAAAGAGGGGAATCAAAAAAGCATTAGGAAACTCTTCCCTCTCCCTCCACATTTCCCATCCCTTCGCCCCGCGGCTGGTCGAAAGGGGAAGAAGCAACAACCCATTTCGGGTGCCCCGAACCCCGTTACTGCCCGGGGGTGATACTCGCACCCCCGCTGCCTCCACAGCCGCCCCCCGACCACGCACCTCCCAGTACCCCCCCATCCCTCAGCTCACCTGCACCGCCCCGCATGGCCGCGCAGCCCCAGCCCCAGCCCCAACCTCCGGGTCCCGGCCCCAATCCCGATCCCGGTCCCGGTCCCAGCCCCAGCCCGGGACCCGCCGCGGGCCAGTGCGGAGCCACCGGGGCCGGGGGAACGGAGGTGAAGGCGACGGGGCCGCGGCGCGGAGGGTCCCGGGCGAGCAGCGCTTCGATGTGGAACGGGGTCTTGTGGGGCGCCGGGGCGGGCCGCGGGCGCGGAGGGCTGCGCAGCATGGCCGGGCCGGGGTGGCGGCCGCCCGCCCCGCAGGGTTATATGGAGGGCGCGGTGGGCTGGGATGAGCCGCGCTCCTATGCAAAGCGGCAACGGGGGGGCGGCCCCCAGCCCCCGGTCCGCACCGGCACCTCCACCGACACCCTTTGTTCACCGCACCGACACCCCTTCACCATCATCCCATTCCATCCAGTCCCTTCACCATCATCAACACACTTTCTTTGCCACCGGAACCCCCTGCACCGGACATCCCAATCCCTTCACCATCAACACACTTTCTTTGCCACCGGACCCCCCCGCACCGGACATCCCAGCTCCTCCATGGGTGTCCATTCTTCTACTCCATGGACACCAACACCCGCTCCAAACAGACACCCCCATGGACGCTTGCTCCTTCCACCACAGACACCCAGTCCCTTCCCCCCACACACACAACCCTGCTGGCACCCTCACCTTCGCCAGTGGAGACCCACATGGACACCTATAGCACCCACTACACTGACACCCAAACCTCCCATGTCACCCAAACCTTCCCCTGGACACGCTCCTTAGACCAGCCCACTGCTACCCATGGACACAGCTATCCCCTAGGACCGGCTGTGGAAGCCTGATCTCCCACCATGCCAAGGGGAGTGTGTCTGTGTGTACCTGCCTGGCTCTATTTGAGGGTGTCCATTGTGTTTGGGATATGGGAAAAGCACATCAGGAGCTCACAGGCCAATTGTGCTGTGGGAATTGAATTGTTGGTCTGCTTTGGGTGCCATTCCTGTGGGATACACCCAGAGCCAAGTGCAGATGTGTTGTGGAGAGCTGTGGACAGCACAGACCCCTCTCTCAGGTGCACACGTACCCAGCAAACACAGTGCCCAGCATTCCAACATCCACAAGCCCCAAAGTTGCCCTGAAAATTCACTCCCATGCATGCAAACTCCAGGAAAGCTGGAGAGGGGCTTGGGACAAGGGATGTAGGGCCAGGCCAAGGGGAATGGCTTGAACCTGCCCGAGGGGAGACTGAGATGAGCTCTTAGGCAGAAGCTCTTCCCTGTGAGGGTGCTGAGGCGCTGGCACAGGGTGCCCAGAGAAGCTGTGGCTGCCCCATCCCTGGCAGTGTTCAAGGCCAGGTTGGACACAGGGGCTTGGAGCAAGCTGCTCTAGTGGAAGGGGTCCCTGCCCATGGCAGGGGTTGGAGCTGGAGGAGTTTTAAGGTCCATTCCAACACAAACCATTCCATGATTCTATGAAATCCCCAAACCGGAGTCTCCAGGTTAATAAACATGGAGCAAAAATCCCCTGTGGCTTAATAACAGCGTTAAAGATCTCTGCATGCAGGGGCTTGCTGACAATATGCAGTAAACCCTGCCTCAAATGAGGGATTCCTGACATTTAACGTCTCTTTCCCCTGCCCAAGCCACGAACATAGACCTCATTACAAAAGAGCATCTCTATATTTTTAAGCATTTCAAAGCAAATGGAAATTATGGGAATGGATGGGCAGGATTATCCTGCTCATGAGGAAGCACCCTGGGGCTGGCTGGGGGATCCTTAGGGAAGAGGATGCCTGCAGGAGATAAAAGAACCCCTCAAGTTTGCCTTTTAAACCCCTTTTCTTCTGCCTTTTAGCATCCTGTCTTCCACAGTGACTTCAAACTACGTGAATAAATACAGCTGGGGCTTTATTGCTCCTTATCCAAACAGCCAGCCCCATCCCTGTGTAACTCTGTGCTTAATTGAAATCACACATTCAAAGCTGGGCAAGTGCCGAAGCCCCTTCCCAAAAAAAAGCTACCATGGAGAAGAAAAAATCCACAGGGATTCACAGCTTCTGGCTTTGCTTGCACAGGGGTGCTGTGGACTGAAGTAAAGGGGGTCGTTAGACAAGGGTTTGATTTGTTTGATTAAAAGCCTGTTAAATCTCTTTTCCTCTTTATAGCAAGTCATGGCTGCTGCCATAGTTCCCGTGGGATGAGGTGTTGGAGATGATCAGGAGTAGTTTTCCATGGCGAATATTGGGATGGGCAAGCTGACAACAGAGAAGCGTGATAGAGCGAGGTGCTGTCTGCAGCAAGGATGGCTGCATGGATGGATGGGTGGATGGAGCAGCCCTAAGGAACAGCACTTGGGGGTATTGGGTGAGGAGAAGCTCCCCATGACCCAGCTTCAGTGAGCGCTTGAGCCCAGAACCCCCCCATGTGCTGGGCTGCACCCCCAGAGCGTGAGCAGCAGCTCAGGGAGGGGATCCTGCCCCTCTGCTGTGCTCTGGGGAGACCCCCCCTGCAGCCCTGATCCAGCTCTGGGGCAGCAGCACAAGAGGGATGTGGAGCTGCTGGAGCGAGGCCAGAGGAGGCCATAGAGATGCTGCGAGGGCTGGAGCAGCTCTGCTCTGGAGCCAGGCTGAGAGAGCTGGGCTGGGGCAGCCTGGACAAGAGAAGGCTCCTGAAGGGGAGACCTGAGAGCAGCTCCAGTGCCTGAAGGGGCTGCAGGAAAGCTGGAGAGGGGCTTGGGACAAGGGATGTAGGGACAGGCCAAGGGGAATGGCTTGAACCTGCCCGAGGGGAGACTGAGATGAGCTCTTAGGCAGAAGCTCTTCCCTGGGAGGGTGCTGAGGCGCTGGCACAGGGTGCCCAGAGAAGCTGTGGCTGCCCCATCCCTGGCAGTGTTCAAGGCCAGGTTGGACACAGGGGCTTGGAGCAAGCTGCTCTAGTGGAAGGGGTCCCTGCCCGTGGCAGGGGTTGGAGCTGGAGGAGCTTTAAGGACCCTTCCAACCCAAACCATGCTGGGATTCTATGATTCAATGGATGCATGGACAGCGAGCCAGAGGGACAGACAAGCAGCAAAATCCCTGACTTTTTCTCTTTGGCTTCTCCCACTTGGCCAAATTCTCTGCCTAATGACATGCCCTGTGTCCCATTAGTACTGTGTGCTCAGCTAATGCTTTTTGGGCTTGAAAGCTGGAAATTTTCACTCACTGGTAATGACTTGGGAAATGTAGCACCCAGCAGCCAGGCAGAGCAGGGACCCCCCCTCTCCTCCATCCCCATCCCACCCGCTCCCAGGAGAGCAGGACTTTGCTGCAGGAGATGAAAGGATGGGCTCTGATCCTCTTCTTTTTAGCGCTGCGGGCTTGGGTTTGAGGGGTTGCTTTTATTTCTTCGTTATTTTATATGATTCCAGTGTTGTTTGTCAAGAGGGGAGAACATGAAAGGGGAGGGGGAGTCTTTTAGGGGAGGGTAAACCCAAATCGCAACCCCAAACCAAGCCCCAGCCCTTTGTAAACATCCCCCCTGAGCAAAGGGAAGGAGGTGAAAAGCATTTCCTGATAACTCCATTAAAGAATGAGGCTGCATTAACATTCCAAGTACCTCGACAAGAGATGAAAGTGGGGAACTTGAGTTCAGCCTCTCCTCGCTCCAGATGTTATTATGGGCTCCCTGAAAAGGGGTTTTGATTTCTTTTTTTGGCCGAGAGACAAAGATGTTGCCTACTTCAAACGGGGCTAATTGATGCTAATGACTATCAGATCGAGTGGGGGCCCTTCTTCCCCCCTGCAAAGGGGAAAGAGAGAGCCGCATTTTACAATCCCCTCATAGAAAACACCCCCAACACCCCCCCTCTGCTCTTCAAACCGGGTTCTGCTTTGGGCGTTTGTGTTTTCTCTTTGGCTGCTGCTTTCTCTACCCCCCCTCCTCCTCCTCTTTCCCTCCCTTCATCTTTTCCGTCCCCTTCTCCTGGGCTCCCCGCAGCTCTCACTTGTTTGCCCATGAGAAATTTCACACCTCGGCTCGGCCGGGATTGCCTGGCTCCGTTTCCAGCCCTCTCCCGGCCTCCAAAGCAGCCCAGCGGGCACAAGAAGCGGAGGAAATCTCCCCAGAGGCCCAACAAGCACACGTGAAAACGTGACAGGGATTTGGGGCCGCTGTAATCCAGGGCGTGAGTCCTGCAAGTGAGGAAACAGCTTCTCCACCCAGAGCATCCTTTCTGTCACGTCCTATAGGGAGAAGGTGGATCCGTGTTGCTGCTTAGGCAGGTGATCGTAAGAATGACCAGCCCAGCACTGCCATCATAAGGAGTCTGGAATCACCATCTCGTGCCTTTTTCTCTCAAAACCATCAAAATTAGCTTAAAAATGGGATTCTGACCATTAACATTTAGCCTTGTGACAGATTTTTGCAGCCTTTTCTCATGTTGTAATCCATAGTCACAAGAAATAACCATGGGGATTAGAGCAGCCTGCTCTAGTGGAAGGTGTCCCTGCCTATGGCAGGGGGTTGGACCTGCATGAGCTTTAAGATCCCTTCAACCCAAACCATGCTGTGATTCCATGCTAATCCAATAATGAAAAGGCAATGCGGAGCGTCCCCAAATCACATGGCTTCTGGAGGTGGTGATTTGCCCTTTTCCAAGCTGGATCCCACTGAATCCTGTAAAGAGAGGGGAATAGGAATTTGCCTTCATTGCAGAAAGAGGAGCATGGATTTCTCCCTGGAGGATATAGAATCCCAGCCTGGTTTGGGTTATAAGGGAGCTTAAAGCTCATCCAGTTCCAACCCCTGCCACGGGCAGGGACCCCTTCCACTGGAGCAGCTTGCTCCAAGCCCCTGTGTCCAACCTGGCCTTGAACACTGCCAGGGATGGGGCAGCCACAGCTTCTCTGGGCACCCTGTGCCAGCGCCTCAGCACCCTCATAGGGAAGAGCTTCTGCCTTATCTCCAACCTGAACTTCCCCTGTTTCAATTTGAACCCATCACCCCTTGTCCTATCACTACAGCCCCTGATGGAGAGTCCCTCTCCAGCATCCCTGTAGCCCTCTTCAGACTCTGAATGCAGAATAAGTGATGCATATTAATAAAGAATCAATACAGAATATTAGTAATACAGAATATATGATACATATCTTTCTTCATCATAAAGTCTAGAAAAGAGAAGTAACTCAGGGTAGCAGTAATTGTGTGTTTGGGGTGCTGGGTACCAGGGTGCTGCTCTGCCTTGGCTTTGCCACCTTCAG